TTGTGCGCTAGAATAGAGTTGTTGATTGTCCTGGTGGTATTGACTTCACCTTAACTTAACCCTTGCGCAAAGATGTTCCTTTATTCTTTTGGATAGGCGCCGACTCGTGCTACCAGTATAACCTGCTCCACAGGAGCAAGTAAAGGAGTAGATGCACATGGAGGTGGTCTGATTATACGTATGCTCGCCAATTGCTCTTCGAATTTCTGTGATGGGAATTTTCGTATCCTATATATCTCAATATATTGCATTAAATTTGAAGCATTTCACGCACGCTGTGAGCATACCAACATAACTACGGAGTAGCTTGAGTGGTTGACTGTGCAAGCATCGGTAAGAAACGGGAGTGGGAACCCTCTCCCACTCTGCAATTCAGGTGGCCTCGCACTAAACCCTATGGTGATTAGGATGAGGGTTGACGTTAAGTCTAGAATTCAAGCTAAGGTTTCCGTAAGGCTTAATCTTAGGGGGTTAGGATTAAAACACAAGAATAGGCGCCCACCTGTATTTCTGGGGGAGTTCCTATTCCTAAGTCTTGCCCGGGCATTTCAACAAGCCTTGTGGTCGTGAACCTCTTGAGGACCGAAGCTATCCCCCTCTCTCCTAGTACGCTGATCAGTGCATAGTGTTCTATGAACTGAGTATGAGTGTTGGCTTTTCGGAACGGATCTCACGATCTCGAGGCAGGAGAAGGTCAAAAAACAAGCAGTGTGTCATGTTAACTGGCAAATCAGTTCAGCTCTATGCCACTGCGAGAAGACTGCATTGATCTTCATGTCAGTCGTCAATCCTACGGTTGGCCTCAACATTTCAATTGTTTGTTTTATTGATTGTTTCACATCTGAAATTTGAAGAGTGAGCCGATTAGAAATCTCGAGCGAATATACTACTATTTCTAACGTTCGACTCGCAAACCTTAATACGCCAACTTCCCGATAGGTCTGTCTGGTCAATTTATGCATCGCTATTTTTATTCTATATTATTATTATTATTTCGTGAGGTAGGATATGATTTCTCCGGATATTGAGAAATACTGAAAAATAACCTGTCCTCAGTTTTTTTCGGTTGTGGCTTACACGAGGAGTTATCAAATCTTCAAATGGACTTCTTAATTGCCCTGCGCTCACAGTTTGTCCGTGTCATATTCGCCATGGCGAATTCTTTTATTTTCCCAAGTAGGAGAGTAATGCATTACAAACGTCACGTGACCCTTTTCTCAAGCGTGCTCATCCAACCTGAATTACATACACAAATTCATCATGTAAAATTGTGTCAAGCACCATACCGCAAACTTTGTCAACACAGCTGTTCGTTTATACCTTGTGTTTTATTCTTCTAAACTAAAGGTGAAATTGGAGGTCTTGGGTAGGGGTATCCCCGAACCCAGGTCGGTCCTCTACGCTCCTCGATCGAAGAAAGATGTGGAAGAGGCTCGGGCTGGCAACCTGACACTGACGAAAACCGAATCACCCGGCGGGGACTTCTTGGCGCTGGGCTATGTGGACGAGGGCGCCTACTCCTTTTCACATGGTGTAAGCATCGGACTAGGGTTCCTCAGCCTTGCGGCAGTTGCCTCCGTTAACTCTGCCCGAACGATGAGTTCACAGTCCTTGCACGAACCCTTACCCGAGCGCTTCAATGTGATCCTCTTCAAGAATGCACGGTCAAGCCTTCTACAGTGTGCCAAGCTTTCCCTTGTCATTTAATGTACAATGTTAGCCAATTGCACAGTCTTATTTTTGCACTAACTCTACGACGTTTGTTGGGCTTATTTGGATGGACCCGTGTCTGTGTGTCATTTGGTTCGCGTAAACTTACTGACATCCTCTAAACACCCAGACGTTTTCAAGGCATCTAGTACGTCCTATTTGAAAAGCAAGAGCCCTTTGCGACACATTTTCTAGCATGCGTTTTGAGTAGCTAATGCAGTAGGCTACTGCTTCCTGTGCTGGCTGTTACCTTTATGTGGCAGCGGAAGAATAAAAAAACGTTCTCGTTGGGGGGGGGGAGATTTCGGGTTCAGACCATTGCAGTACGCAGTCGATGCACTTGGATCAGCGCTTCGGAGGAACGCGGCGGACTAGATGCGTTCCTGATCGAACATGAAAATGTAGTATCCAGTGCAGTATTAATCCCAGCTATCAACTCCATATTTGTTAGATGCAGCCTACAAGAGGATTGTCCTGACCAAAAAATGCACACATGTCATTTCAGTGTTTCGGATGATCGCGCCAATTTCAGAGGTCTCGGTAGAGTTGGTTGAAGACTGTGCGCGTCGGACTAGTCAGATGCCTTACTTGGTCCGCTTTACCCAAGATAGTAGAATTTGTCCTGTAGCTCCAGAGGTTTGCCGCCTGTGATGTATCTGACCCAAGCTCACCATCCTCACTTTGGAAAGAATTGTTTTGCGCCCATCTTGCCTACCGTTGAGACAGAAGGGATCACAGGTGTGTAGTAGAGTTCACTAGCATGTTGGCATCTCAAATGAAAAGTATGTAATACTCCGTGAGATCTAGCTCCACGGTAAAAAAAACGTAGTTTACTGCAAGACTGATCCAACACATACTTAATCTCCGCTGGCAAAAGCACAAATAATGCTGACGGAGTCTAAAAATGAAATCGACTAAGCCTTTTGTTTCCGTCGGACATCCTAGCTTTGCTCCCAGTTCTGGAAATGGTACATTTGTACCAATCCAGCATTTAGCGTCATCAAAATTCACTTCAGATGAGTCTGAAGAGGCACTCCGGCTATCAGCCTGGTACAAGAACCCGGGAAACTTCCTTCTTGCATCTGAATCCGACGGGCTCCGTACCAAGTCCGGTCTAGTTCGAGGACACACCGACCGACACTCTAGTGTGTCCCGGACTGTATCCCACTGTTTACAGTGAAGATGGGGTGCCCAGGTAGGATAGCCCCGCCGATGTGCTGAGTAATTAACCTTCACGCCTAAGCCTTGGGGTCCACAAAGTTGTGCTATGTACAGCGGCCGCATCCTGACAACCAATTAGACCGGCGTGAAGTTGTCGGACATGCCAGATAATCCGTGGTAGTCTAAGTAGCACTACAACGCGGCGGTCCTTGGGCCTGCGCGCGCGTCTTTCTGGTGTGATGTGGGCAGAGATTGAGTCACTGGCCCCTTGATTGGCCGATGGCAGCCTGTGGGTGCCTGTGATTGGCTGTCCTAGAGACAGGTCGATAACTGCGATCACTTGCGTGGCGTGTCACTGGAGATAGATGGCGCTACAAACCCAGTTACGCTTTATATGAAACCTGATTAAGTCAGAAAAGAAG